GAATCAACTTGAAGGTACCTAACAACAACAGCAACATCCTATAGCGTCGAATCGACTCGACAGCAATGATATATACCAATAAACAATATAATGTAAACTTCATAACCCAAACTACATAAAAATACTACCAAACTTTATATTTAGAAAGCACTTTACACTTTTAAAGAGCATCTTCACATTGTTAGCTGCCACAGAGTTACTCCTACTCATGGCGACCCCACACCCAATGGAAGGAAACACTGCCCAGTCCTGTGCCATTCCCATGACCAGCTGTTTATCAGATCATGGTGATCCAGATGGTTTTCACTGGCTGATTTTCAGACGTAAATCACCAGGCATTTCTTCCTACTCTGTCATAGTCTGGAAGCTCCAACGAAGCCTGTTAGCATCACAGCAACATGCAAGCCTCCAGTGACAGACTGGCAGTGGCTGCACCATGAGGTGCACTGGCCAGGAATCAAACCCGGGTGTCCAGCACGGAATGTGAGTATTCTACCGCTGAACCAACACTATCCCCCTATCTTCACGTACATTATCTCAGTTCACCTTCACAGAACACTGCTGGGTAGGCAAGGCTGATAACACCACCACAACTTACGGAAACTAAGGCTCTGAGAAACAAGTAATCTGCCTACGGTTGCTGTGTTACTAAATGGGGGTGCAAGGATTACAACTTTTATACATGTGTATTTTATTCTAAAGTTGGTACCCTTTGACCCTAGACTATTTCTGACCTTAGTTTCCAGTATAATTTAAAAATACAGAAATTACACAGTTCCTAGTACTTAGAAGGAAACCCTGGTGGCGCAGTGGTTAAGAGCTACAGCTGCTAACCAAAAAGGTCGGCAGTTCGAATCCATCAGGCGCTCCTTGGAAACTCTATGGGGCAGTTCTACCCTGTCCTATAGGGTTGCTATGAGTTGGAATCGACTCGATGGCAATGGGTCTTTAATATTTACAGTACAGATAGGTTCTAGAAGACAGTTTATAAACTATAGTGCTTTTCCATGTAATAAAAGAATTTGCAAAGAAAATTATATCAAACACTACATTTTATCCCTCAACAATATTTATTCAGCCATTACCAATAACAGCCCAAAGCAGAGATAACAGTTTAGAGTTAAGGCTCATGAACCTGGCTCTTCAAAAAAGTCAAAACTTATTAAAAAATTCCATAAATATTTCTATTTACCAAAATAATGATCACTCTTCTTTTGAAAATTTCCAAATGAACAGGAACATGGGTCCATAGATGGATGTGGGGGGGATGACCAGAACTTCTGATGACAACACAGCAAGTACATGTTTACATTACATTACATGCTGAACACATTTTACAACCAAAAGGTCACATCTTTGGTTTTGAACTATCAAGCAGGCAATAAATACTTATGGAGTAACATTTAAAAACCAAAAGCTACAAAAGTTTTAAGAAGCATATTTTCTCAGATGACATCCTCTTCCTCTTGCACGATATAAGATTGTCCAATATACTACCAACACCACTTGATTGTGAAATTTTCAAGAGAAAATCCAACAGCCACTGCACAATAAGAGATCTAGTCCTAGCCTCCGCCTTATTAATGAAACAAAAACCCAGCACTGCCATCTTATATTGTGCAAGAATAGCAGAGACCCACACCCTGAGCAGTGAGTACTTGAGGAAGGAGAAGTTCTAGAAAAAGGCAAAGATTCCTTAATTTGACTTTTTGCTGGGGCCAACTCTGGTTTATGAGAAACTTAAGGTTAGGTGATCTAGGATCTCAAGAACAATGGAGACAATCTAATTCAAAATGTTTAGAGTCCAAAAGCTCCATGTATATTATTAAACCTTGCTCAAGGTTTAAAAGAAAATCAAGTTTTCTTTCCTTGTGACTTTAGAATCTGGCTAAGTACACAAATACAGAATTTTACTCATATTCCTTAAAGCTTACAACCTTAATCATAGGGTACTGTTTAAATGTTATCATTATTTCAGGTGATACTCTCTACTGACTTCATTCATGTTAAGAATCTAGTCACTAAACTATTAGAACAAGGAATTTAAATGCAAGTTATACAACAATTTTGGACACCTTCTATGTGGCAGCGCAGTGGTTCAGCGCTAGGATGTTAACCGAAAGGTTGGCAGTTTGAACCCACCCACCGTTCTGCAGGAGAAAAGATGTGGCAGTCTGCTTCTGTAAAGATTACAGTCTTGGAAACCCTACGGGCAGTTCTACTCTGTCCTATGGGGTTGCTGAGTTGGAACTGACTCAATGGCAACGAGTTTGGTTTGGTTTTGGTTTTCTATGTGGCAGGCACTGTGCTAGGTACTCTCTGAATTGAAACTGAATGAATAATTATAAGGAAAATGACTACTACACCCTTATAACCTTTTTCTACAAGCATCATTAATCTATCTGTCCTACCCAAAGAAAAGTATACAAATGCAATTAATAAAAGAGAATCTGTAATTCTTAAGTATAAGCTTACAACCAAAGTCTATAAAATAATGTAACTTCTGTCAATATCCTGAAACATTTACTTCAGGT